ATAATTATTTAATTAATATTTTATAATTTATATATAATATATTTTAAAATTTTATAATTTATAATATTATTATTATATATATTTATAATTATATATATTATAAATTATATATATATATAATATATATATATGTATATATATATATATGTGCAATATTTACAATTATAATAATGTATTATAAAGTAGGTTAAATCGTGTTCAATTAAAATTGAATACAATTGATTTTATCATCTATTTATATCATGATAAAATCCATTCTATTCTTCCATTATAGAATTCATTTTCTTTTCATTTTAAATTGAAATCAAATGTATAATACATATATTATTATTATTTTATTCATTGTAGGTAAATTTATTGTTCACAAATAAATCAAATATAATTGATGATGATTATCTAATTACAATAATACATAAAATTCGTGTAACCATTTCAACGTTAAAGATACTTATCGTCAAATAATAATTAAACTTATCGTAAATTTATACATATTAGTGGAACCAGAAAATAAATGTCGCATATTCATATACATATCGTGTACATATTATAGAGCAGAATTGTGTGTATGTATAAGTTAAAAAGAATGAGAGGAAAGGAACCTTCTTGACCCACTGGCCGAACGAATAATGTCGGTAGTAAAACCTAGAACAAAAGTTTGCCTCGTAAAAGAAAAATCGATTAGCCTGAAGCACTTGACTACCTGCCTTGTGAGAGTTAGAAATATTTCTCTTTATCTCTCTCTCTCTCTCTCTCTCTCTCTTTTTTTTTTTTTTATTCATTTGGAAGAAAACAAAACTAGTGATTTGATTAACATTATTTTTTTTTTTTTGAACACGTTAGTTAGCCTTAGGGTTAAAAGAATGGGAAAAATGAAAAGGAACAAGGCCGTTGGCTTCCAATCATCGAAAAGTATATAAAACACACACACACACATACACATACTAATAATCAAAAAAAAGAAAATAATAAATAAAGTGATGAAATAAAGTTTGATTGAAATAATAAATGAAATTGAAATTAATCTGAATAAACGTTTAAAGTTGTAACTTTGAAAGAATTTAAATCCCCTTATAAATTTAAAGTCTCTCTCTCTCTTTCTCTCTCTCTCTCTCTCTCTCTCTCGCTCTCCTACACTGTTACAATTTCTACAATCTAATTCTTCAGAATTTTTTTCTTACGTTAATAGGAACTTCCCTTGTCTCATGAAACATATTAGTAGTATTATTTTAAAGGTCGTCATCCCAGATAATGAAAGCGAAACGCCTTCCATACTTTACTTACTTATCATCCTCACTATTATTATATCTTCTAACTAATCAAAAACTTCATTCATTTCTTTTATGGAAAAATTGTATAGAAAAATACATCATTCAAGATTTAATAATATTTTATTTTGTATACATTTAATATTTTAAAATCAATATGTTATTTATATATTTATTTTATTAATTTATTATTAATTTATATATTTATTTTATATATATTTTTATATATTTTATTAATTTATTTTTAAATATATTATACTTTATTTTTTATACATATTATATTTTAAAGTTAATATATAATTTATATATTAATTTTTTTTCGTATATATTTATTTTCTTTTATTTATATTTATTTATTTATTTTTTTTTAATATATTACATCTTATTTTTTATACATATTTAATATTTTAAAATAAAAATATATAATTTATATATTGTATTTTTAATTAGAGATTGTATAAATTTAATGAATTCTTTGTCGGACCAATTATACGAGTAAGTATCTATAAGTTAAATGTATTATCCTAGAACTCGTAAGATTTGTTTATAGATCTTTAAATATCTCTATTATGTCATTAAGCTATTCTCATAACCATTCTCAAAGATTATCGTTATTTTAATAGCCATACGTAATAATAGCAAGATCAACAATATGTATTTATTTGCTTATGGTTAGTATGAAACACTTTGAAAATATTATCTTTCTTTCTTTTATTTTATTTTTTTTTTATTTTTTGTTTAACTATTTACAATTACAGACGAAATTTGCTCGTTATGTATGTTTAATAATATAACATTTGTAAATATAATCATGAATTTTAAATAGTACAGATTACATTTCTTTCAGAGTATAAATTATATTAAAAAGTACAATTTTTCTTTTTTTTTTTAGCTTAATAATAATATTCATTGAAAATTCTTTCATCAAAACGTTATTAAATATTTATTCAATATTTTCTTTTTCTCTTTTTATTGTATAATATATTTTTTTTCTATTTCTTTTTTTTTTTTTTTCTCTTGAACTGTTCCATAGAGCACATAAATTTTGTTTACATCTATCTATTGAAAAAATTCAAAGCTTTTAGTTAAATCTGGAACAGGGATCATCTTTTAAAAGATATATTTTTTTATGTGTCTCTTTTTCTTTTCATTTATAAACTATTTCAGTTAAAATGCTTTAAAAAAAAAAATAAAATAAAATAAAATAAAATAAATCATGAAACGTTCGCAACTTTGATTTTCCACACACTGCAACGTAGTAGCGTTTATTTATTTATTTCTTTTATTTCTTTTTTTTCTTTTTCTTTTTTTTTTTTTTAATTCACAACCAACCCTTCTCTTCGTATATCTATCGTGACATGTGTTCTATTTGTTCAAAAAAAAAAAAAAAAATTCAAAACTCTCTGTGAAATATAAAAAAATCGTTTTATTTAAAATAGAAACCCTCACCCCAATTCCTATCCTGTCAAAAAAAAAACAAAAAAACAAAAAGAAAATAAATAAATAATATCCAATATAAATAATATTAATTGGATAATATCCAATTTAAAAAAATAGTTCTTCAATTTTTCTTTTTTTTTTTTTTTTAAATATCGACTAGGAAATGTTGTTAATTATTTTGTTTTCACTGACTTTTTGATTTTGCATATTTTATCTTGTAGTAAATGTTCAATATGTGATTTTTATTAATATTCATATATACACACCTAATTATCACATATACACGATATTCAATAGAATGATTTTGCTTGTGAAAATATTTAATGTTTTTTTTCTGTCTTTTATACGGAAACTCATGAATGATTAATATTATGTACATAGTATTGTGAAATGCACTTTAATTAAAATCTCTTTTGATTTTTAATGATCTTTGTCGCGGAAGTCACATTTATATAAATATATATAAATATATATAAATATATATAATAATATACATATATAATACAATATATATAAATACTAATTGAATCACAATGTAAAAGAAATGAAAAAGTAAACAAAGAAAAAAGCAAGAAAGAGAAAATAAAATAATGATTAACAATTTACAAAATACATTTGACGTATAATTACAATATTTTATTATAATTATTATTATTATTATTATTATTATTATCATAAAATAATTTTATCGAGTTTATTTTTAATTTGATAAAAATTCAAAAAAGTGTAGAATCGAATGAAAAAAAAAAAAAAAAAAGATATTCGCGTATTTCAATTGTCGTAAAAAAATAAAAATAATCATTTTGACTAACATTTGGACTAACATTTTGGTTTATTGTATTTTTTTCTTTTTTTCTTACAGATAAATTAAATTATCGTCAAATCGAGCATCAAGAGAAGAAGAAAATAGTGAAAAAATAATTTGCTAACATGCCGATGGAATTTTTAGATCGAATACCCGTACCCAATTTAAGAGTTTACACAAGCTTAAGCTTTGCTGTACTCTCTTGTTCTGTTTATTATGCTGCCCAAGTCGTAAAGGATCCATCATGGAGAACAAATCATACTAGCATAGTCGAGGGCATCACCGATGTAATCGAAAATGGCACAACAACTTATCCAAGAAGTATTGGTATGCACTTCAAAGAGTTAATGGCCTTTATGGTACAGGATCCTGGTTGCATTTGGGTAAGTCATTTATTATTTTGTTGATTCTATTCTTTAGTTTCTTATTCTTTTTCTTATTTCACATCAGTTTGAAATAAATTAAAGTTAAGTATATTTTATATACATCTGATATATATATATATATAAAAAAATACAGTGTCACATTGTTGGTTTTCAATGAAGTTTGAAACTAGCTGAACCCATTTTAATGAAATTCTTTTTTATTTTGTGTGATTTTATTCAACTTAGTATATTGAATAGTTTTTATTGCGATTATTTTTAGTTTTTATTGCTAATTAAAGGATTTATTATTCATAGGTTATCTAGATCTCTAGGTATTGTAAATTTTTAATAGATAAAGCTGTATTACAATTCAATTATTTCAGGTTTTTTTTTTTCTTCAAATTTACATATGACATAACTAACCTCACTTGGTATATTTTTTCCTGTATTATTATTTTGTATATTCCATTGTAATTTTAATATTATTGTGTGTGTGTGTATTGTTTTTTATATATTATACAGTATATATAGGGTGATCTGTAACTGGTGGTACAAGCGAAAAGAAAGTGACTCTACATGACAAAATAAATCGAAAATATATTAGAATAAATGTTTTTCGTTTGAGGCTTTGTTTTTGAGAAAATGTACTTTGAATTTTCGCAAAGTACGCGTGCACTTGATCATGTCTCGTTATAACGGACCTACGAACTTTTCGGAAATACCCTACGTACTTTTCAGAACTACCCTACGAATTTTGCAAACTTAACCTATATATACACATAGTTTATTCTTATATGAAAAGTTCGTAGGTCCGTTACAACGAGACATGATCAAGTGCACGCGTATTTTGGGAAAATTCCAAGTCGATTTTCCCGAAAACAAAGCCTCAAACAAAAAATATTTATTCTATATTTTCGATTTATTTTTTCATGTATAATCACGCCCCTTTTCGCTTGTATTATCAGTTACAGAGAGATCACCCTGTATATTGAAAATGTAATGTTGTTCTATGCTTCATTTGAATTGACAGAAATTTTTAGTGAATATTAATTTGACTGCATTAAATAGTTTAGAATTGTATTAAATCAACGTTCAATAGATGACCGTGTATTTCAATTTAATTATTTTCATTTACATACGACATAATCTTACTTTTTCTATTTTTTCTTTTTATTATTATTTTATGTGTTGTTGTTATAATTTACATTTTAATAACAAAACCACATCACAACGCGTGACCGAAGTATCCTAATATATTTATATAAATGAAATTATTCAATTGTAAAGATATTCATACTTGCAAACCAATTATTTTTAGTAACTTTTCTTTCTTGTTTCTTTTTTAATTAAATTTGTTTCGATAACGTGAAAGTTTTCATTCAACGTAACCGTATAATTTATGAAAATGTACAATTATGCAAAATATTCTTTATAAATATGTGAGTAATAAGTGCAGACATCTTTGTAGTAATGTATATTTACTTATTCTTTTTTTTGTTTTTGTTTTTGTTTTTGTTTTTGTTTTTGTTTTATTTTGGTCAAACATTTATTATGAAATGTGTATTACGTTGGTTAAGTATAAAGTAGTTACGATTACATAAATATATATTTGTAGTGTCCATTCTCAATGTAATTGCAATAGAAACTAAAAAAATTCAACAACTTTCTAACAGAGTTCATTTTCAAATCTGCATAGGTAGTTGTTAACAAATTATTAAGTTCCTTTTCATTTCTTTTTCTTGTTTTTATTCTATTTTTTGTTTTCTATTTCTATTAGGTGTTAAGTTCGTATCTAAGGATTTAACAACGTAATGATATATAATAATGATTTTAAATAGAACTCGTAAGATAGGCAAAAGAAACTTTGTTTCGTAATTAATTTCTATTTCTTGCATATTTTCTATTTGCTAAAATGAAATAGAGAAATAAATAGAAAAGAAAAGTTCACCATACTAATTAAGTTAGTTGATTTTTTCATTATTTTTATCATCCTATTTTCTTATCTTTATATTTCTTTTAATTATAATTTGGTGTAGTAGTTTTGCATAAAATTTGATATACACGTCAAGAAAAGGAAAAAATAAAAAAAAAAAATAAAATAAAATAAAAAAAATCGTATAATGTTTAAATAAAATGAAGAAAATTTTGCATATGCTAATAATTTATGTAGATCAAATCTAATCTATGAAAAATATTAATATGTAATATTCGCTAATAAGTTTCTTATTATTATTTAAATATTATTATTTCTAATATCTGTTATATTACAAGAAATATATTTAAATATATTTATATATTTAAATATTTAATATAGTAATATATAATATATATAAAAAAATATACACATATATTCTATATATTTTTATATTTTATAATAATTAATGGATTATTAAATTATTATAAATATTATAAATTATATTAAATAAATAATTATAT